TAGGGCCTAGGTTTTCAGGAGCCACGGGGGATGACTGGAAAGAGGATGATAGGTTGTACAGCTGATAGACAGAAGTATACCGAAGAAGGTATTTTTATTCAGCGCTTTAAAAACACAATTTTCCTTGCAACAAACTGCAGACTTGTTAGGAAGCAAACAGTGGAAATCCACTGTCCTAGTCAATGCTTAAATGCTGAACTCCAAGTGGGAACAAACGGAAAACACACAGGTGCGCGCGCACACACAAAATGCCGTGAGGTACTTCTGTTCCCAAGGCTTGAAGGTTTTTGGCACTGAAGGGAAGGTCCTAGTCTTGTCTTGCTTTTTAAGGAGCAGCGAGTGCTACATTGCTTGATCCAGGACCTGCCCTGAGAAAGGAGGGACGGGTGCAATCCGGAAGATGTGACACAACAGCTTTGCCACGAAGGGCTGCACACCCTTGCTACCGTGAGCGATCCTCTTGTCTATTGCTAAAGCAAGGCAAGCAAGGGAGAATCAAAAGGGCCCCCCCCCTTGGCCAACACACATCATTCATGTCAAGATTAAGGCAATCCTTCAACCGGAGCTGGGGGGGGGAAGTCCCCCTCCCTCCTTAGGGCAGATCCAAAGTCCTTCCCAGGAACCTACATGGATCCGGGCTGGCCTCGGGAGACTCTGGGCTTAAGGCACCATGGCTTTCTTCACCAGAGGTACAAACCTCAGAGAGCGCCAGAAACATCGCGCTCTGGGTTGGAAGGAGACGTGGAGACGACACGGTTCCCTTTCACAGCAGGGAAGACACCGTCCCTTCGGTTTCATTTTCCCGGTCGCTCTGAGCTGGGGTGGGCTGGATAAAATTCACACGGACAGGAGCCAGAAACAGCTCCTTTTGACGGACTCTCTGTCGGCCAGCCGGCTCTCCGCTTGCCCTGAAGGGTGCAGGAAGTACCGGCTGGAGAAGTCACTGCCAGCCTCGAGAGGCGAGACACGGGGCTACCTGAACAAACCGCCCTGCTTCATAGAAGGCAGCTCTGTTGTGCTTTTATGTTTCCCCCCCCCCCAAAAAAAACTTTTTAGTACAAAGTCTACACTGAAACTTGTGAGTTTTTTTTAAAAAC